AGCTGGTGAAGGAGGAGGAAATGGGGTTGAAGGGAAGGAGAAGAGGAAGGAAGGAATGAAGGAAGGAAGGAAGGGAGAGAGAGAGAGAAGAGGCAAGTGGGTGGGAAAGAAGGGGAGAAAATTAAGGGTGGGGCAGGAGAGGAAAGGAAGGGGAGGCGAGGGAGGGAAGGGGAGGAGAATGGAGAGGTGAGGGAAGGAAGAGGAGGAGGAAGAGACGGGAGAGAGAGAGAGAGAGAGAGAGAGAGAGAGAGAGAGAGAGAGATCAACATAACCCACAATTAAACCCTCGCTGTTACACGCAGATGTAAAGGATCGGTCAACGCGACTTCAACGCTATCTAACTGGTAATCCTGAGTTGACTGTTAGTCCCCACGCTAGCAACTACCTTATGGGACATTACGAGCAATGTCACGTCTAATAGCCATCAGTTAATAATAATAATAATAATAGTAAACAATAATGACAGTGCCAACAACAATAACAGCAACAAAAACATAGAGGGTGGGAACAAATACACTGATGAATAAGGAGATAAAAATCATGAAAATAAAAGATAAACAGAAAAAAATAATAAGATACGAGAGAAAATGGGAGAAAATATATCGATAATAATAAACATAGAAAAACGGTGAAAATAGAAGGAATTTAAGAATACAAGAAATTTTGATAAGAGAGAGAGAGAGAGAGAGAGAGAGAGAGAGAGAGAGAGAGAGAGAGAGAGAGCACTCTGACGTAAACATACTGTTATCTTCGGGTGATAATGGAACAGTTCTTCAAGATAAGTTGATTCATCTGGGCTGTTTCCTCTGAGAGATGGTCTCCTGCCCCGAGAGGATGAGTGCAGAGAGACGAAGAGAATGGCTGCAGTGGTGGCAGGAGGAGAGGCGGAGGAGGATAGAATTAATGAAGTAGAAGAACCCAGTCAATCCATCTCACAGTCTCGCTGAGCGGCTCCTGACTCTAAATTTTGATTATAGGTTATGCCTTCTCTAGCATGTATGGCGGGTACTGGGATTTTTTTTTTACAGAATTTTTGGTGAAAAAAATGTTGCTTTGAGCTTCTTCTTTTTATAATACTGTTAATGGGGAGGGAATTTTTAAACTTGGATGAAATTTAAGTGAATTTTTAAGACGTGAGGGTTAGACGTCATAAGGTGAGAATTGACATCTGAGGAGGTTCTTGGCGAGAAAATTTTGAGGACAAGTAACCAAAATGTGACTCAATAAACTTATCGGTCGGTTAACTCTCTTATTACACACTGTTGGCAGATACTGGAGATGTACACATTCATGACTGTACCCCAACATCAGTCACAGCTGTTGTATCCTGGAGAGTTCACAAGTGTACCTTTCACAATATAGACTATTAGAAGCCCTCACTATACTCTCACTCCAGGGAAGTTAGGGAGGGAAGTTGTCTATGCTGGAAGGTCCCTGATATGGTGGCTGTGTCCCCTTAGGAAGTCACCATAAGAACAACTAATATATCACAACACATTTAAAAGTGTCGTGTGATAGACTGATCATGTACAGTCACTCAATAAACTATCTGTACTTGGGGCAATCGATGAATCTCAGAATGAACACAGCGACTCCTGTTGTCTCGGTAGGGTTGTCAAAATCCTTCGCCCGTTGTGTCATATTTTCTCGATACAATTTTGCATTGATAATTTTTTGACTGACTGTATATACCCACACGATATTAATATTAGTTCAGCTGAATATATTACCAAACTTCATCTTTTTCTAATCATTGGTCTTACGAAGTTCTGCTCAGTATAAAGACAAACTTCCATGTCTTTCTTGCGTCTAGTTTTAGGTTAGGTTAGTCTCTCCATTCTGTTGGGATTTATGGTAGGCTATGTCACTATTATTATTATTATTATTATTATTATTATTATTATTATTATTATTATTACTCTTACTCTTACTCTTACTCTTATTATTATTATTATTATTATTATTATTATTAAATTTTTATTTAAGCTATTGTTTGACATGAAAGTTGAAGGAAAATGACCGGGTATTGTTACTTCTTCACATCATGCGTTCATTTGTTGTCTGTTGTTGTTCATTTGTTTGAAACTTATGTTTATTTATTCAGTTATTTCATACTTATATTCATTTTTTCTACTTGTGTTCATTTGTTCACCATGTTTATTGTTCATTACTGTACTTCAATACCTTAAGCTCGTGACGCAAAACTCTACGGAAACGACAATCCGTGTTTCACTTACTACACTACACACTCCGAACAGTTAATTACATGGGATCACTGACAAGGTTTTAGCCTAATCACAGGATAACTGATTTAGGATAACTGATTTAAAGGATAAATTTTGTAAAAGCATTTCTTCTCTGAAAATTCTTCCCCAGGATTGTTACTATAACTGATCATACAGTACATCGTTAAGGGCATGGATTAATTAAAGCCACTGAAGCCATCTGGTGGAGGTGCCGAGGCCACGAGCCAGTCAGCATCAGAGGACCTTCATGGCCAGAGCTTCACGACTGTGGAACCTCTTCACGGCGGCCAAACCGGATGTCGGGAAGATGACCACCCAAGAGGTCAAGATGGCCACTCATAGATGGCGAACGACTCTCCGAGCTACAATTTTTACTGTGTATTACTAGCTAATTTCTTCTAAGATATTATCTACTAAGTCTACATTATTCAATTTTTAGTGGCTTTAATTAATCCATGCCCTTAACTATGTACTGTATGATCAGTTATAGTAACAATCCTGGGGAAGAATTTTCAGATAGAAATGTTTTTACAAAATTTATCCTTTAAATCAGTTATCCTAAATCAGTTATCCTGTGATTAGGCTAAAACCTTGTCAGTGATCCCATGTAATTAACTGTTCGGAGTGTGTAGTGTAGTAAGTGAAACACGGATTGTCGTTTCCGTAGAGTTTTGCGCCACGAGCGTAAGGTATTGAAGTACAGTAATGAACAATAAACATGGTGAACAAATGAACACAAGTAGAAAAAATGAATATAAGTATGAAATAACTGAATAAATAAACATAAGTTTCAAACAAATGAACAACAACAGACAACAAATGAACGCATGATGTGAAGCAGTAACAATACCCGGTCATTTTCCTTCAACTTTCATGTCAAACAATAGCTTAAATAAAAATTTAATAATAATAATAATAATAATAATAATAATAATAATAATAATAAGAGTAAGAGTAAGAGTAATAATAATAATAATAATAATAATAATAATAATAATAATAATAATAATAATAATAATAATAATAATAGTGACATAGCCTACCATAAATCCCAACAGAATGGAGAGACTAACCTAACCTAACCTAACCTAACCTAACCTAACCTAACCTAACTTAACCTAACCTAACCTAACCTAAAACTAGACGCAAGAAAGACATCGAAGTTTGTCTTTATACTGAACAGAACTTCGTAAGACCAATGATTGGAAAAAGATGAAGTTTGGTAATATATTCAGCTGAACTAATATTAATATCGTGTGGGTATATACAGTCAGTCAATAATTTATCTATGCAAAATTGTATCGAGAAAATATGACACAACGGGCGAAGGATTTTGACAACCCTACCGAGACAACAGGAGTCGCTGTGTTCATTCTGAGATTCATCGATCACCCCAAGTACAGATAGTTTATTGAGTGACTGTACATGATCAGTCTATCACACGACACTTTTAAATGTGTTGTGATATATTAGTTGTTCCTATGGTGACTTCCTAAGGGGACACAGCCACCATTACAGGGACCTTCCAGCATAGACAACTTCCCTCCCTAACTTCCCTGGAGTGAGAGTATAGTGAGGGCTTCTAATAGTCTATATTGTGAAAGGTACACTTGTGAACTCTCCAGGATACAACAGCTGTGACTGATGTTGGGGTACAGTCATGAATGTGTACATCTCCAGTATCTGCCAACAGTGTGTAATAAGAGAGTTAACCGACCGATAAGTTTATTGAGTCACATTTTGGTTACTTGTCCTCAAAATTTTCTCGCCAAGAACCTCCTCAGATGTCAATTCTCACCTCATGACGTGCAACCCTCACGTCTTAAAAATTCACTTAAATTTCATCCAAGTTTAAAAATTCCCTCCCCATTAACAGTATTATAAAAAGAAGAAGCTCAAAGCAACATCTTTTTTCATCATAAATTCTGCAAAAATAAATAAAAAATCCCAGTACCCGCCATACATGCTAGATAAGGCATAACCTATAATCAAAATTTAATGTCAGGAGCCGCTCAGCGAGACTGTGAGATGGATTGACTGGGTTCTTCTACTTCATTAATTCTATCCTCCTCCGCCTCTCCTCCTGCCACCACTGCAGCCATTCTCTTCGTCTCTCTGCACTCATCCTCTCGGGGCAGGAGACCATCTCTCAGAGGAAACAGCCCAGATGAATCAACTTATCTTGAAAAACTGTTCCATTATCACCCGAAGATGGCAGTATATTTACGTCAGAGTGTGCTCTCTCTCTCTCTCTCTCTCTCTCTCTCTCCCTCCCTCCCCCATCCCCATCACCCTCCCTGCCCCATCACCTTCCTCCTCCACCACAATCCCTCTCTCACTGCCTTGTCCATCAATAATACTCACATGACCCACCCTCCCTCACCACCATCTCCCCTCCTTCACTACCATCCTCCCCTCTTCACCCTCCTCCCTGTGAACTGACCACCTCCCATGGTCCCCCATACCAGACGAGCCACCTCGATGGTCCCCCTGCCAGACGACCACCTCCCATGGTCCCCGCCGCCAGACGACCACCTCCCATGGTCCCCGCTACCAGACGACCACCTCCCATGGTCCCCCGCCGCCAGACGACCACTTCCCATGGTCCCCCGCTGCCATACGACCACCTCCACTTGGTCCCCGCTACCAGACGACCACCTCCCATGGTCCCCGCTACCAGACGACCACCTCCCATGGTCCCATTACAATCATTACATCAGATATATGAATCTTTAAAGGATCAGATTCTCTTACCTGAGTCTTCGATCTCTAAACGCTCCAGTAGCCACTCGATGAGATCGTATCCTGCAAGAGAAACAAAACACCTCATGAGACAGTGACCGTAAACCCCGATGAGGAGTCCATGTGTTGTGGGAGGAATAAACAATGACAGTCTTACAGGCGGGTAGCAAGAAATACATTAAAGTCGAGAGAAGAGAACGACTCCGAGTGACACTGATACATGCTGGGTGAACCATCTGGCCTCACCACACCTGTGTACATCTGCTGTCTTGACTTACAGATGATACCAATTGAAATATAATAATAATAATAATAATAATAATAATAATAATAATAATAATAATGTGGCAATAACAGTAATAATCATAATAATAATTCTGATAATAAACAACCTTATGGAGGAGACTTGTTGGGAGACAGTAAAGAACTGATGAATACTCTTGTATACTGGCACTATTATAGTGTGTATACTGGCACTATTATAGTGTGTATACTGGCACTATTATAGTGTGTATACTGGCACTATTATAGTGTATATACTGGCACTATTATAGTGTGTATACTGGCACTATTATAGTGTGTATACTGGCACTATTATAGTGTGTATACTGGCACTATTATAGTGTGTATACTGTACTATTATAGTGGCTTTATTATAGTGTGTATACTGTATAGTGTGTATAACACTATTATAGTGTGTATACTGGCTTTATTATAGTGTGTATACTGCTTTATTATAGTGTGTATACTGGCACTATTATAGTGTGTATACTGGCACTATTGCAGTGTGTATACTGGCACTATTATAGTGTGTATACTGGCACTATTATAGTGTATATACTGGCACTATTATAGTGTGTATACTGGCACTATTATAGTGTATATACTGGCACTATTATAGTGTATATACTGGCACTATTATAGTGTATATACTGGCACTATTATAGTGTGTATACTGGCACTATTATAGTGTATATACTGGCACTATTATAGTGTGTATACTGGCACTATTATAGTGTATATACTGGCACTATTATAGTGTGTATACTGGCACTATTATAGTGTGTATACTGGCACTATTATAGTGTGTATACTGGCACTATTATAGTGTGTATACTGGCACTATTATAGTGTGTATACTGGCACTATTATAGTGTGTATACTGGCACTATTATAGTGTGTATACTGGCACTATTACAGTGTGTATACTGGCACTATTACAGTGTGTATACTGGCACTATTACAGTGCATGCTGGCACTCAGGAATGTACGCCCGTTTTCAAGTGTGTAATGGTACTCAACTTACTCAATTGTGTACACTGGTACTCCAAAGAGAAGCTGTGGGTGGATGGAGAGACTCACCACCCTGTAGGTGCCACTCTCCCATCAACAGTTTACCGAGTGTTGAGTTACACCGCCACTCCTGTCCTCAACCGTATCCTTCACATCACTTCTCTTCCATTTTACTCTCTCTCTCTACTCACCTTCTTCTCCTACTCTCTTCTGAACATATTATTTTCTATTCTTTATTATGTTAGGTTTCTTAGGTGTGAATATGCAGGCAGTTGGCAGAAGATGGAGAGATTAATGTGGTTGTGTAATGCATTCACCTGAGAATACACGAACTACAACCACTAGCCAATCAAAAGGTAAATAATGCCGAGATAGTAATAATGTCTGTTTTTGAGTGGCTGGGGTCCTTACTGGTGTCTGTGAGAGGGAATCTACCGAGGTCACACGCCACACTCTCGTTGATTTCACCCAATTTTGCTGGGTATATTCTCATCACATCTCTTTTCATCAACAAGAAGTGAAGACAGTAATCCTTCTCGTCTTCCGTTTTAAGGCCACTTCTGGGAACACCTGAAAATTATCCCCATAGCTTATTTTACTTTAAGATTAACTATCCCAATGCTAACCTAACCAAACTGAACGCTAATCTAATCTAACCTAAACTAAACTGAACGCTAACCTAACCTAATCTGCTGTGTGGTTTACGAGAGGTTTACTCACAGTCTAACCTGGAACTTTATGAAGCTATACACTTATGATGAATCTCCGATAAGCAGGTGTGTACATTGGCAGTCAGGTGTGTACATTGGCAGTCAGGTGTGTACACTGGCACTTAGGTCTGTAGACTGATGTGTGTACCCATACATTTCTGCATACTGGCTCTTGTGTACACTAACATACTGTAGATGTGCGCACTGGTACCCGGAAATACAATAACATAGATGTGTACACGAGCACAAAGAACATAATTGTATACACTGATATAGCTGTGTACATAAAAACTCAGGTGTATACACTGATACCGGTGTGTATTGTACAATGAAAGACAAAAGTTGTGTCGTGAAATTTGGTGAGAACATATGCCGAAGGGCTACAACTTTTGGTGCGCTCTGCCTTGTGGTAGGGGGCTCTCATAATGTTTCACGAGTTATATTTAATCTTCGGACAAAACCGCGACATGACTTTTGTCTTTGATTGTACACTAAAGTACACCTCCAGTATTACATCAGCATCCATCTAGACATTCTACACAGACACACCTCAGAAATTAATAAATACAATAATTCTTAATCTCAGTACACTGTAAACTCAGTACCTTACAAGGTGTTATATCCAGAGTGCTGACATAGTTCACCGTTGCAATAATGATGTAAAAAAGTTCACCTGTAACAACACTAATAACTACGCCACACTGTACCGCCTCAAGGTGTAGTAGAAGGTAATGGAGTGAACATCCCATACACCTGCCAGCCAGTTAAGGGCGGTGTGGATACAACATACCGTGTATCTATCCTTGAGTATACCTCTATAAGGAAACAGTACGACCGGCACTGCACTCCCACAACTGGTGTGGGACCTTGAGATGCAAGTGAGCCGCTAAGGAGTGGTAGCTTATTGCCCATCGTGGTCCAGTGGATAGCTACTTGACTTCCAACCTTGGTAGTCACGGCTCGAATCCCGGAACGCACAGGTGATTCTTTTTTTTTACACTGATATACCTGTGTACATTATCTTAGGTTTGGTTTGGTTCGGTAAGGTTAGGTTAGGGTGTTTAATCATCACGTGAAATAAACTTGGGTGTCTAATCTTCAGGTGATCGTACCATTGGAGTGTTATAGAGGAGTCAGATGTACAAGAGTGGTCATGGTAAGACTCACTCTGGTGGAAAAAAGTCACATGGAACATCCCTGGCTACTTGATCACGGAACAATGCTGGCTACTGGGTCATCACGGAACATCCCTGGCTACTGTACACATATATTCAAGGGTAACAAGAATATAAGTATTAAGTAACTCAATAAACAAAAGTAACAGCACATCACGAGAGGTGTGCGAGGATCAAGTGAAGATTAGGCACCCTAGTTTATTTCACCTGATGATTAAATACCCTTAAGCTAATCTAACCTAACATAATCTAACCTAAGCTAATATAACGTAACCTAATACAATATTACCTAATTTAATCTAACCTTACCTAATCTAAACTAACCTAATCTAAACTAACCTAATCTAAACTAACCTAACCTAACGTAACCTAACCTAATTAAAGTTAACCTTACCGAACTTAATAAACCTAACCTTCTAATCCCCCCAAAAAAAATGTTAGATGAATATTAAGAAATAAATAAATAATAATTAATTCCCTTATAAATTTATCAAGACAGTTCTCGCTCAATAGTTAGTCTCCTCGTTGTTATTCTCTCTCACTTTCTCTGGTATAGTTCCTACAACAATCAGTCAACACAGTCTTCACTACACCTGAGGGATGCTGCTGCGTCATATGTCTCTTTCCTCCCGCGTGTGACAGTGGCGCTAAAGGGCGACCCGTCCACAAGGTACACCCACTTGAGGGAGGGCTGGTGGATGTGTTGACACCTGCACATGGTGAAGACCTGACACCTGCAAAGGAAGGACAACATGAAGGAGAAAGTGGCATCTGCAAAGGTAGAGAAAGACCTGGACACTTGCACATGTAGAGGAAGCCTGACACCTGCACAAAAGAGAAAGAACAAGTCTCTGCACTAAAGACCTGAGGGATGTACCTGTGCTGTAGAGAAAGACCTGACACCTGACCTGACCTTTGACACCTGCACAGGGAGAGGAAGACCTGACACCTGCGACCTGTGCACAGGGAGAGGAAAGACCTGACATCTGCGACCTGACACCTAGAGAAAGACCTGACATCTGTCTGCACAGAGGAGACAGAGAGACCACACCTGGACATCTGCACAGGAGAGAAAGACCTGACACCTGCACAGACCACATCTGCACAGGGAGAGAAAGACCTGACACTCTGCACAGGGAGAGGGACCTGACATCTGCACAGGGAGAGAAAGACCTGACACCTGCACAGGGAGAGGAAAGACCTGACATCTGCACAGGGAGAGAAAAAGACCTGACCTGACCTGCACAGGGAGAGAAAGACCTGACACCTGCACAGGAGAGAAAAGACATCTGCACAGGAGAAAGACCTGCCTGCACAGGGAGAGGAAAGACCAGGATCTGCACAGGAGAAAGACCTGACACCAGCACACCTGCACCTAGAGGAAGACCTGACACCTGACAGGGAGAGAAAGACCTGACACTGACAGGGGAGGAAGAGGTGAAAGACCTGGACACTCTGCACAGGGAGAGAAAGACCTGGCATAGAGCAGCACAGACCTCTGCCTGACCTGAGCACAGGGAGAGACCTGACACCTGCACACCTGCACAGACCTGACATGGGGAGGAAGAGACACCTGCACAGGGGGAGAGACTGACCTGACCTGACATCTGCACAGGGAGAGAAAGACCTGACATCTGTGAGAAAACCTGACCTGACACCTGCACAACCTGTATCTGACACCTGCACAGGGGAGGGAAGACCTGACATCTGCACAGGGAGAGAAAGACCTGACACCTGCACAGGACACCTGACACCTGACATCACAGGGAGAGAAACAAACCTGACAGACACTGCACAGGAGAGAAAGACCTGACACCTGCACAGGGAGAGGAAGACCTGACATCTCTGCACAGGAGAGGAAAGACCTGACCTGACACCTGCACAGGAGAGAAGACCTGACATCTCTGCACAGACCCGACACCTGCACAGAGGTAGGAGAGAAGACCTGACACCTGCACAGGGAGAGAAGACCTGACACCTGCACAGGGAGAGAAGACCGACATCTGCACAGGGAGAAAAGACCTGACACCTGCACACTGACCCTGGAGAGGAAAGACCTGAAAGACCTGACACCACCTGCACACCTGACACCTGCACAGGGAAAAAGAGGAGAAAATCTGACCTGCACACCTGCACAGACCTGGAGAGAGAGACCTGACACCTGCACAGGGAGGGAGAGGAAGACCTGACATCTGCACAGGGAGAGAAAACCTGACATCTGCATGGGAGAGAAAGACCTGACACCAGCACAGGGAGAGGAAGAGACACCTGACCTGACACTCTGCACAGGGAGAAAAGAAAGACCCTGCACAGGAGAGGAAAGACCTGACACTGCACAGGGGAGAGAAAGACCTGACACCAGCACAGGAGAGGAAGACCTGGACCTGCACAGGAGAGAGACCTGACACCTGCACAGGAGAGGAAGACCTGACACCTGCACAGAGAGGAAGACCTGACACCTGCACAGGAGAGAAAGACCTGACACCTGCACAGAGAGAACGACACCTGCACAGGGAGAGGAAGACCTGGACACCTGCACAGGTAGAGGAAGACCTGACACCTGCACAGGTTGAGGAAGGCCTGACACCTGCACAGGTAGAGGAAGACCTGACACCTGCACAGGTAGAGGAAGACCTGACACCTGCACAGGTAGAGGAAGACCTGACACCTGCACAGGTAGAGGAAGACCTGACACCTGCACAGGTAGAGGAAGACCTGACACCTGCACAGGTAGAGGAAGACCTGACACCTGCACAGGTAGAGGAAGACCTGACACCTGCATACACAGGTTGAGTGAAGGCTGAGCCCAGGTGGGGAGGAAGACTCTGGACACCTGCACAGGTTGCTGAGAAAGCCTGACACCTGCACAGGTAGAGGAAGACCTGACACCTGCACAGGTAGAGGAAGACCTGACACCTGCACAGGTAGAGGAAGACCTGACACCTGCACAGGTAGAGGAAGACCTGACACCTGCACAGGTAGAGGAAGACCTGACACCTGCACAGGTAGAGGAAGACCTGACACCTGCACAGGTAGAGGAAGACCAGTGCCTTACTAGGTAGAGGAAGAAAGTGTCGTCATGCGCTGGTGTGTTACGTCATGAAGAATAAGAGAAGCCTCGACAGTCATGTCGGAATTGTGTGTTGACATGCGAGATGCAAGGCGGTGAGGTGAGCGACGTGCCATGAGCCAAGTTGCAGGAGTTACCCGTCACTCACTCACCCTTGAATATGGAGACCTGCTCGCTCCGAGGTATACACTCTGGAGTGGCCAGAGACGCAACAAGTGACTGCGACGCTGTAAAAGAGAAAGGATTGGTAGGCTTGAAGGTCATGACAGGGAACAAGTCCACCACTGTCATGTGACACCATGCCCGCACCTCCTGGGCTGACGATAGGAACTGGTGTGTTGCTCTTTAAACAACAGCACTAGGATACACTATGAGCTTCGCACGTCCTCGCACTGGACACCATTATGAACTAAGACTCTTAACGACTAAGAGTTGCAGTATTTGGCCCCCGCAGGAAGTCGTTGCTGGGGGGAGGGGCGTGGCGGACGACAGCTGGAACGTGACAAACGCTCAACGACTGACAATGAGCGGGAGTCCTCCTCTTCTGGTAGCTGCCGAGCTGTCACCTTCAAGTATATCATTAGTGTCCCTGTATGTCACTTATATAATTGTATGATACTGTATATACTCAAACCATGTTCTAAATTCACACACACACACACACACACACACACACACACACACACACACACACACTACAAGTGCCTAACGTATTACTGATATATGTTGTAAATACCTATAAGGGTTGGCAGTGTATATGAAGACTTGGTGGTGTACAATATATCACACACACAGCCACATATATTCAGACAGCGGGGTGACACACAACTGGTTTACAGTAATAGGCAGGTGCAGCGCCACGCAGTGATGTACACAAGGCACAGTAACAACACTGGCCGAGTCCAGTCCATAATTACATAGTTATAAAGGACAAATGCACTGATGTACTCAAGAGATAAATTTTAGATATTGATGAACATTAAATGGATGTGTAAAATGTTAATGTGAAACAGGAGAGTTTGCTTTGTGCAATAGTGAAGGAAATAATTGAATACAATTATGAATTAGGCAACTTATAAGATTGCCAGGGGGCCAGACCACTAAGCCTATTAGGGGGCAGAGGGCCCAGGTTACTAGGGGTCCAGAGGGCCCAGGTTACTAGGGGTCCAGAGGGCCCAGGTTACTAGGGGTCCAGAGGGCCCAGGTTACTATGGGTCCAGAGGGCCCAGGTTACTTGGGAGCCAGAGGATCCAGACTGCCAGGGGGCCAGAGGAAGACTTCCCCAGAACAGTAGGTAATGACTCGGTTGGTTTAGTTTACAGACGGCCTGCCAGAGGCAGTGTGGCGGGCACTACATTCACCTATACTCATCTCCCTAACCACAAGTGAGGTACTGTATTCCTTTACAACTGGGTGAACTGGAAGCGACGACACTCGGCCGCCGCACCCTAACATTGTCGTAGTCTAGCCCAACTTAACTTCAAACACAACCTGTAATTGGAAGCCACTAATAAGCTTACCGTAATTAGATGTAACTAATGCGTAAAGATTATGGAAATACGAGTAACTCCCAACATTAAAAGAAACATATATCTGTTGGCAACTTACTTTGATACTGGTATTACAAACTATGAGTTCTAATGTAAGTTGTTAAAACATTTACCTCGCAGGTTTATGACAACGAGTTTTATTCCAGACCAAACTGGTGAGTGAGTGTGGCGCCACAATGGAGGAACAAAACTTGGGTGAACAACCAAGTTGGTGGAGTAACTCACTGGCTACTGAACGTAAAATTCAGGGGATTGACACTTTTGTGAGTTACTTTGGGAGTTGCTATTGTAAAAAAAAAAAAAAGTAAGAGCAGAGCGGCGGTCGAGTGGATACAGCGCTCGCCTCCTGTTCCTGTGGTTGTTGGTTCGATTCTCGGGCGCTCCTAGTTCAACCAGCTGTCCAGCTGTAAATGAATACCTAAGTGTACAACTTGGGGAAAGTGAAGGCAGTCAAGAGCAGTACCGGCCACGCTGCCTCCTTGTGTACCGAAGGCTTAATATATTTTACAGTGTACTGTATCCACACTGTCCCTTGTGCATTGAGTTTTTGCATTAATGAACACAAGTAAAATAGTTTCTGGACAGGTGAACAGATTCAAATAAGCTAATGACAGACCACACAAAAAACAGATTTAAAAATATAAGCGGTATAATCGACACACTTCAATGTAGCGTAAGAGTTTTTGGATCACCTGATGATTACCCTCCTCCTCCTCGTCTGATTACACCTCATGACTAAACACCCTAACGCTACCTGTAGATTGGCTTTGGGATGATTAATATTAGGGTGAAATAAACTGAGGGGTGGGGGTGTTTAATCTTCAGGTGATTTGAATGTTTTATAGGAGAGCGAATATATACAGTAGGGAGTGTGGGGAGGCGAGAAGCGGGTCCCCCCCCCCCTGTAAGTAGGACTACGTTAAGGATGAGTAATATTACCGTAGTTGTTTAGAACTGATATGAATGAGGGCAGTAAAAGAGGTTGATGGAGAAAGGCGCACGTCTGATGAATAATGATGAGGGATATAAGAGGGAGGTGAGTCAGCTGGTGTTGGCAGATAATATGGCTGAAGTGGGCAATTTGTGTGGGAAGGGAGGGGGGGGGGGTTGGGTTACAAATGTATGGAAGTAAATTTTGAAGACTTCGTTCCAGGAGAAAGTGGATTGTTAAGTGGACAACAGAAGGTGATTAAAATAAATAGAGGAATAATAAATGTTAGATAAAAGATAGATTAGAGGAAGTGGAACGTTTAGGACATCGAAGAATGGATGTGTCAACAAAAGGCTCGATGGGTGGAATGAAAACTTTATATACAGACAGAGAACCACACTCTGGGGTACAGGTGAATGGAGCTAATTAGACGCAACAAATTTGACGTGCATGAAAGCAACACGTGGGGGTAAATATGATAAAGGGAATAAGAATTACAGTACTGATGAGATGATGAAGAGAAAGAAGTGTCGACCAGAGAGTGAATGAGGGACCCCCGAGGAAGAAAGTACAAATTAAGGGGAAAAAATAATGTATAACTCAAGAGATAGATGGTAGGATGGAGAAGGGGAAGACAATGGAAGGATGAGGTGAAGGAAGCGCTAAACGTGAGGAGGAAGGAAGATCCAAGAAACATCAGCGTGCGTGAACGAGCGGGAGAACATGACAGTGCCCGGTGAGTAATGGGGGGAAGACGCGCCGAGTTACTGATGGCTGATGCTGGCTTGTGTAAAGAGACCGAAGTACAACGCATCTGGGGGCTTGAGGACGGGGAATACCATAGCAGGTGACGTCGAGGGTTATGTTAATACCACTGTGCTTCAACAACTAAGGTCTTTAAGAACGTAACATGGTCCACCGACACCTGTAATAACTGATAAAGAGCAATGCAGGAAGGGGTGAGGCGTGTAGGGACCTTTGTCTGACACCATCGAGCTACATCAGCTACTGACACTCAACTAAGGTGACTATGTGAGCCTTAACAACCTCCCTCCCTCCCAACCACGTCCAGTACCTTACACTGGCACTAGATCACCTACACTGGCACTAGATCACCTACACTGGCATTAGATCACCTACACTGGTACTAGATCACCTACACTGGCACTAGATCACCTACACTGGCATTAGATCACCTACACTGGTACTAGATCACCTACACTTGCATTAGATCACCTACACTGACATTAGATCACCTACACTGACACTAGATCACCTACACTGGCACTAGATCACCTACACTGGCACTAGATCACCTACACTGGTACTAGATCACCTACACTGGTACTAGATCACCTACACTGGCACTAGATCACTTACACTGGCGCAAGATCACCTGTACTGGCGAAGGCAGACTGAGCCAGCCACACCCTCCCAAACATCACATAACAAATTGAGTATTTAAAAATAGTAGCAAGAGCCGCGGCCACACACGGGATGACGACGCTGCCTCGGTCACTTAATTTAAACTCAAGGAAAGTTTTTGTTTTTCTTTAAGGTTTATCACAAAGATTCTCTACGACTTTTAGCTGTTAGAAAATAATTATTATGTCAAGGTTAAGGAAACAATCTCAAGGTCATGTGAGGGTGAGAGGTGTGAGGGTGGAGGGTGTGTGAGGGTGGAGGGTGTGTGAGGGTGGAGGGTGTGTGAGGGTGGAGGATGATTGATGGTGGAGGGCGTGATCATGATGGTGGAGCGGTTCATGCGTGTCATCTAATCATAACAGCGGTTCAAGACAGTGTGACAACAGCCGCGGTTCATGACAGTGTGACAACAGCAGCGGTTCATGACAACGTGACAACAGCAGCAGTTCATGACAACGTGACAACAGCAGTGGTTCATGACAACGTGACAACAGCAGCGGTTCATGACAGTGTGACAACAGCAGCGGTTCATGACAGTGTGACAACAGCAGCGGTTCATGACAGTGTGACAACAGCAGCGGTTCATGACAGTGTGACAACAGCAGCGGTTCATTACAGTGTGACAACAGCAGCGGTTCATGACTGGATCTCCTCAACTCTGGCTGACATACGATGGCGCTCGTCGTGTAGCTGTGAAATCATCGCAAGTATTCCTGGACACTCTTCTCTCCGCAAAGACTAATTTATTTATCTTTTACTTTTCCCTAATTTTGGTGTTTTTAGTAAATTCCTTGAGTTTTCCCTGACTCTCTAATATATATGAATTCCCCGACTTTTCCCTGATATACGGATGTTTAGCAATATTCCCCGATTTTTTTTTCCAATATAAATTCCCTGACTTCTCTTTCCCGCGACTAAAGTAATAATTATTTCCCTAACTTTTCCCTAATGACCATATAAACCTTCACTCGAACTATGTATCAGTAAACACCATAAATATACCATAATACACTCCCTACTGTACACGAATGAGGGAAAAAAAAATTCCCTTTATTTCCCTAGCGGTACTTAATAAAAAATTCATCGTTTTTTTTTCTACCCTGAGAATATTTGAGGGGTAAATTCTTTTCATTCTATGGTTCCGAAGAGGAGGGACGTCCAATTGACCCCATTCCGAAGTAACCCCACTCCGAATGAACCCCACTCCGAATGAACCCCACTCCGAATGAACAACTGAGTTAAAGGGTTCGAAATCTATAGTAAACAAAATGCAATAGAAAATGTTACGGTAATTGCCAAAATGACTAAACAACGAAAACAC